AATATAGTAAATTAGTATTAATCACATGTGTAAATTCAGTCAATTTTTCTGCATGTCACAAATGATTCCAGTTAATTTGCTATTATTTATTTATTTGGTACATTGTATATAATTGGAAAATGATTATGTTTCTATTTAAACCAAATAGTTGATTGGAACTCAATGAAACCTTTATACCTAAAGTAAGCCATTAAAACAACTACGTTTATCCCACATATGAATGGAAATTATATTTGTAATTTACTGTCATTACCAGTTAAGTGATAACCAATAGTGAGTGTAATATTTGATATATGATGATTAATGACTGTTTTGTCTTCCAACTCAACTTTTATAGCCACTAGAGGCAGGTGACAGGATAAAGATTGAGCATCAGGAGAAGTCTACCCTGCTGGAGATGAAAAACTGTGTCCGTGGGGACACTGGAGACTATACTCTCACTGTAACCAATGACTATGGCAAAGACACTGCAACTGTATCAGTGGTAGTTTTGGGTAGGTAATCAGTATTGAGATATAATTGTGGTAATATTCTGTTTAACATTCCTTATTACTTGATAAGATATCTAATTTGATAATACTTTTAAGTAATGTATCTGAAATAAACTGCTGCACTACTGCTTCAATCTGTGAGTTCAACCTGTTCATGTTTCTGCCAACATACAGTTATGACATTAAACAGGAATCGATGAAGTCCTGATTATTGTTTGTGTTCATCAGAATGTAAGATATACATTAAGTAGAGCATAATTAAAAGAAAAGTGTCTCCAACTGCCTATGCCAAATTGAAAAATAGATAAAATATTTACATTTGTATTATAGTTTTTCTTCATGTTTGCAGGTAAACCCCTGGCACCAGAGGGTCCACTTGAAGTATCTGATGTGTATGCTGACCAGGTCACTCTGTCTTGGAAACCACCTAAAGATGACGGAGGCACTGAGATCACGTAAGTTATAGTTCCAGAGTTTGTAGCAAAATGATTTACAGGAAGTAGTGTCCAATATCCTCTCATATTTTGAAGGAGAAAGGTTGATTATGATAAAAAAAATTTTGTTATCACATTTGCTTTCAAAGAAACTTGAGAAGTGACAACTTGAATATGCTAAGGACCATCTTGTAATTTTTGTTTTACAATGGAAGAATGAAATTTGAAATGCACATGAAAGTCCAGTACTTGGACAGGGAGGTATGGTTTGTAATGTTCTGTGTTTTACATTCATTAATGCTTTACAGTGAATATTGAGCTTCATAAGAGAATGAAAGACATGTGAAGAAAATATATACTTATCCTTACATTCATTAATTCGTTTTGATGTTATTATATCTTTCTTATAGAGGCTATCAAGTAGAGAAGATGGACATGAAGAGGGGAACTTGGGAGAAAGTGAGCAACTTTGTCAAGGGCACAGAGTGTGTGGTTCCCAAACTGGTGGAGGGACATGATTACAAGTTCAGAGTGATGGCCGAGAATCTCCAGGGACTGTCTGAACCTCTAGAAACTGACAAAGCCACCAAGGCCAAGAATCCATATGGTCAGTTGAATTAGGGTGTTGTGAATGCAACCAGTTTGCTAACTTTCATACATGTTTTGTATTTACTTTACTATTACTTCTTTACAAAAATAGATATGAAATAATATCACATTCAAATGGGATGGAATGCCATTTTTGATAAATATTTATTGGAAGTGGTCAGTTAGAATTTTGGTGATATTGATTTCACTGGCATGGTGTGTTTCTCTCTCATTGTACTTTGTTGTTAGGCACTAAATTGATATAACTCTACTGAAAGGCCATTCAATGTTCAGATCCTCCTTGACCTGATCGTTTTGTCTAGCTTCTCTGTTGACAAAATATCTGAATATCATCTGAGGCTCACGTGAATTTGATAGTGTAGTTACTGAGCCTGGGTAAATTAAAGGCAACTATTATTATAACAGTCACTGCTTTGTCATAGTGACAAAGAATACTGAAAACATGATGAATGTAGCTGATGTTTATAAAAATATAAAAAGAATATATATAAATACCATTTTGGTTTCCAGATGTGCCTGGTTCCCCAGGGAAACCAAAGGCCACAGACACCAATCGTGACCATATCACCATTGCTTGGGATGAACCACGTTCAGATGGTGGCGCTCCCATCACTGGATACATCGTGGAGAGGAAGGATCCTAAGTCGGACAGGTGGACCAAGGTCAACAGGGAACCAGTCAAGGTCAGTGCTGTCCTGAAAAATACACTTGTTTATTCCTGGGGTATTTTTCTGTTTCAGAATGATTGGTCCCATCAAATGAAGACAGTACATTAAATGGAGAGTAAATGGAGTGAAAATCAGATGCTTCGTTTTTTTTTGTTTTTTTTTGCTCTTGAGAAATTTAAAAGCTCCGCCATATAAATTTGACTTCCTATTACAAGCTAGGAGACGTGCATTTGCTGAATTAATCACACCCAAACCAGAAAAAGATGTATAAAATTTAACAGGTAATATGCCATTCAAGTACATGAAAGAATCTGAGGGCTGGGTTTAAATTTAGGTAATACAGGTGACAGTGGCTACCTGAGATGACTGGACCAGATAAAGTGATTACCTGACACCAGCCAGCAGTAATTTTACTGGTTTAACACAGAAGCTGCTCAATTGCTTTTATGCTCCATTGAAAACTGAAGTTGTTAAGAATCTTCACCACTTTGAGATCCACTTTGACACATGACAATTAAGATTTTACTTCTATTATTTCACTTTGAGCCTGTGATAGAGATTGTTGGTACTTGGCATTAGGATTAGTGTTCAGGTAAAACGGAAATACTGGGATTGCTCAGTTGCTTTGATTGCTTCACTTTTTAACAAAGTTTTACTGATTCTTCTTGGTCTTCAGGATTGTGAGTTCACTGATGATCGTGTCACAGCTGGAAGAGAATATGAATACAGAGTATCTGCTGTCAACAAGGGAGGCAGCTCTGAGCCCAGCCAGACTTCTGGACCCATTGCAGCTAAGCCTATGAACGGTGTGTGCTTAATTGATATCATATTTTCCTTGTTTGTTTCTGTTGATCTAAAAGAATAGGGTCATAAAAATGGAAATGCTTAACCTGTATTTACACTTTTCCTCACATTAATGCTTATGCCTTTAACTATTAGTATAAAAGTAGGCCTACTTATAAAACTTCTTTTAGATTAGACTATTGTGATTATTATTGACTGACATTATTTTGTGATTTTATTAAAATATCATTATAAAAGTATGAATATTATACTGATAATAGACCCAGTACCACATGATAGATGGATAGATAGATAAATATATCTCCTCCTCTTCTCAAAATTTAGAGGCTCCTAAGATAAAGAAGGATGGTCTTAACTTCCCATCTGAGATCCGTGTGCGTGCTGGAGAGCCTCTGGACATCAAGGTGCCCATCTCTGGTGCTCCAACACCTACTGTTACTTGGGACAAGAATGGAAAAGGCATTTTGCCTGATAATAGGGTAGGTATAATACTGCTGGGAAGATTTTTCTTGATAATATAGTGTTTGATATCATATACATGATTGAATGCATGGATGAATACACCATGGATTAAATAATTTGATGTGAAAACTTTTTAATTTCAAAGTGAGCTTGATTACACATTGGTAAGGAAATCAAAGAAATTATCATTTATTTCAGAGATATAATTATTGTCCACTTTTATTTTTAATTGATTAATTAATTAATTTTATTTTGCTTTCCTAGACTTCAATGGACAACAATGATGAGGAAGCCAATTTCCACATCCCTATCTCCAAGAGAGAAGACACTGGCAAATATACCATCACAGCCACCAATAAGAATGGCACTGATTCTGGAGATATCAATGTTATTGTGCTAGGTAGGTTGTTTGTAATTGGTGACTTTAAAGTTTTTAAGGCAGGGATTAACTGCGACAGTTTCTCTGATATTTTATTGGATAACAAATATATTCTCATAGTACCTGTATGCAAAAAAGGTGTTACTGTAAGAGATATAAATCTAGTTTGACTTTTTGAACTCGAGTAGTTCTAAAGTGATGTTCAGTGTGAATTAAAATTATTTGAAAGGAATACTTATTGTCCTACAAGAACAAAAATTCACAACTGTTAGTTTATGCCTAATTGTGTCCTTTAAGTTGAGTGACTCATCTGCTGTTACCCAGTCTTTGTTAGAATTAAAGAATTCATAGGATTCAAATTGTCAGCTGTAATTTAATGGTTAATACCATGATCTCAGATCGCCCTGGTGCCCCAGAAGGCCCGCTAGATGTCTCTGATGTGTTTGCCACCTCATGCACTCTGAAATGGAAACCACCTGAGGATGATGGTGGAGCTCCAATCACAGGTAGTATTATAACATTTCAATATTTGGTAAAATATTAATTTTTGTTCTTTGAAATTGTCTTTTTTTTGTCTTTTTTAAACTTATAATTTTAGACTTCCTCATTTCATAACAGGCAACCTAATATTTAGAAGAAATTCTTACTGCAGAATTCAAAGTTTGGAAATGCATCAGTAGAAAGACAATATATATAATGAGCAATAAGCCCAATTTTGTCGAAGAAAATTATGCAGAAATTACCCATATGTACTAGCTGACATAAATAAAAAGGGAAATTTGGAGAGCTACAATATCATAAATGTACGAACAAAAGGATACAGGCACAATAAAAATGGGTGTAGTAAATGCTTAAATTTCTTTCCCCAAGGTTACATTGTGGAGCAGATGGAGGAAGGCACTGGCTTGTGGGAGAAGGTGCCTGGTATAGTACAGGGCACCAGTATGCCAGTGAAGGGCTTGACTGAGGGCAAGTCGTACAAGTTTAGAGTCAAGGCAGAGAACCCATATGGTGTCAGTGAGCCCCTTGAAACTACCAAATCTATTGTTGCTAAAAATCCATTTGGTAAGTGGTGGTTTAACATCAGTTATATGTTAATCTTGTTTTGATTGACCACCTTAAATATTGTAGAGCTCTACATCATTTTGTCTACTCAGAATTGATATTTTTGTTATGTAACTAGGCTAGTTTAGAACATTTGTGAAGACATAATTATGTGATTCCCCCCCCCCAAAAAAAAAAAAAATTAATTCAGTTGTTTGATTGCATTCATGAGTACATAGTTTTACATTGAAGTGATAAAACTGATTTATTTTGCAAAGAGATGGATAGAAATCAAGAGTAGATTGGAAGGAATAAGATATTGCTCTTCAAGTCTGGAATGACAAAAAACAGACAAATGTCTGGTAAACTACATTACTTCAACTACTCTTACTTATCCGTTTACTTGTACTTTTCCAGATCGTCCAGATGCTCCCACTGGTTTGGAGATTGGAGACTATGACAGATTCTCTGTCAATCTCCACTGGAAAGAACCCAGGAGTGATGGCGGGAACCCCATTAAGGGTAAGCTACACCTAAAGATATTTTCTACAAAATATGATGTGTTTTTCATAACATTTGCATGCAAAAAGTCCTATTTAAAATGACAATGTGCAACAGTTTGTATGTTGCCATATTGTTGTAATTTCGAGAAAAAAGAATGAACCATTAAATGGTTGATTATACTATCAAGCTAATGACATGTGATTCCCAAAAACTGTACATATGTTGTTTATAGATATTATCTAGTTATTATGAAGCATAATCCTCAGTATAAGTATACAATATCCGTATTAAGAAAAGCGTTAAGTTTAGGAAAATGATCAATACAGGTCTTTCACTTAATCCATGTATCTATTATTAGGATATATCATTGAGAAGAAGAGGAGAGGAGGAGAATGGGAGAAGGCTAATGCCACCCCAGTACCTAAGAAGGAGTACACTGTGATGAACCTGACACCTGGCCAGGAGTACCAGTTCCGTGTCTGTGCTGTCAATGATGGCGGGCCTGGAGAATTCTGCAAGCCAACAGAATGGCATCTAGCTAGAGATATGATTTGTAAGTTTTAATTTTTTGGTTAATACGAAGATATTGAAATTGTGCTTTTGTATTACATTTATACTTATTGTCATGTATAACCCAGTTGTTTTTAGTTGCAAGAAATATATGCTATTTTTATTAGTTTTTGTGTGATTTTTTTTCAATGAATGTTATGTACACAGTAATATTTCTTTCAATAAAAACCTTGCACAGTAGGAACTGAATTATTATTATGTTAAAAATTTGAATCCAAACTTAAATATATGAGTCATATTTTGTCAACAGTTGCTCCCGACTCTCCTGGAGCTCTCAATGTAGACAAGATCACCCCAGACCATGTGGATCTCTCCTGGACCAAGCCAAGAAATGATGGTGGAGCGAAGATCACTGGCTATGTCATTGAAATGAAAGAACCTGGCAAAGACAAGTGGGTGCCAGCTGCCAAAGTACCTGCAGATAAAACCAATGGGACTGTGGGCAATTTGACACCAGGTGGGGAATATCAGTTCCGAGTCCGTGCTGAGAATGAGGCTGGTGTGGGTGAACCATCAAAGCCAACGTCTGTTATCAAGGCTGAACACCAACCAGGTAGGTGATGTGTGTGTGTGTGTGTGTGTGTGTGTGTGTGTGTGTGTGTGTGTGTGTGTGTAAATGGATCTTTTAAAGATTTTGTAGGATTTCCATATATATATTTACTCTGCTTGTGCTTGCCTTTCTACCATGAGTTAAAGTGAATTAAAGAATATTCATCAAATTCACCTTATGTTTTAAAAAGAATTACTTTCAATTTTATTATGCTTAATTGGTTTTATTTTAATTGGATTTTGTAATTATTTTAAGTCATTATTAAACATGGTCATTTTCAAATAGAAATGCAGTATGCGTAATAAAGGACATTGCAAGTTACTTTCTTGAAGCCTATTGTAATTGTAACACTATTCAGATGATATTCTTACTTCAAAAATCTTTTCTTTTTTTTTTTTTTTTTTGTTTTATTTTGTTTATCATAAATTTTCCCCTTTCCTTGTGCAGAAAAGCCTACCATAGACATGAGTGGTATCAAGGATGTGACAGTGAAAGCTGGACAACCATTCAAGCTGGACTTCCCCTTCACTGGCTTCCCCAAACCTGTGGCCACTTGGGTGCACAATGATCAGGAAGTTGATCAAGACGACAGCAGAGTATACGCCAAGGTACCTTTAGAAATCTTATCAAATAATCATGTATAAAGGAAAACTGGCTTGCTGTGATTACTGTATTACCTTTTTGTTAAAAGCATCTGTAAAAAATGTTTACCTACTGAAATATGAAATTGGCATTTGGACTATACTGTATAAAATGAATCATCAAGTAATGATTATCTTTTTTTTTTCAAACATCTTAAATATTCTAAGAATTTTGAAGTGGAATAGACATACTCAGTTCTTAGATCTTTTTATTTTTTCTTTAGGTGTCTGATACTGATGCAGTATTTGAGATCGGCAAAGCCAAACGTGAAGACACAGGATTGTACAAGTGTACCTTGAAGAATCCATCTGGCTCAGACACTGGCAGTGTCAGAGTGATTGTACTAGGTAGGCATAGATGGATGGATTGATTCAAGAAAAATTTTAAACTTAAAACTAAGCTCCTCTATGCTATATTTGTATTTGAAATATCATTCTGAGACAGGTACTTAAATTTCAAAGATATATTGATTTGGTTTTTTCATGTCATATTACTGATATTGATGATACACATGTCACCATACTTTTCAGATGCACTTGATTGTTGTAAAATTTAATATGTTGCATGAACTGAGTGATGAGATAACAGCAAGCCTGGAACCAAATATCATTCTGTGGTTATTATAATATAACTCTTTTTTTTAGACAACACCAATATCACCAATTTGTCTTTGTAGATACACCAGGCAAACCAGAGGGACCACTGACAGGAAGTAACATCCAGGCAGACTCCTTGGACCTTAACTGGAAGCCCCCACTGGATGATGGTGGCAAACCTATCACAAACTATGTCATTGAAAAGCGTCCAGTTGGGTCGGACAAATGGACCAAGGTGGCTAGCTCTGTCCCAAATTCAGCCACTAGCTGGCCAGTTAAGAACTTGGAAACTGGTGTGCCCTATGAGTTCCGTGTAATGGCAGAAAATGAAATGGGTCTCAGTGAGCCACTCTTGACAGATGAAGGTGGAATTACGCCAAAGTTCCCATTCAGTAAGGGGCAAAATTTAATTTTGTTTATTTTGTTTTGCATATTCTGTTATCTTTATAACCTTTCAATTCCATAATTAAGTCTTGGCTATGTTGATCGCGCACAATTACTTTTATCAGTTTTGTATATTGTTTTTACTAGGTACATGATTTATATTCTTTTTTTTTCTAATTTTTTTTTATTTTGCATAAACTTTCAGCCTCTAGTTTATGAAATATTCTTTTTTATCTGCATCACTTAGTCAGTTTTTTCTATGTTCTTCAAATTTACTTCTTATTTTTTTGTAAAAATGTTCACCCTTTAGTTTGGTTGTTTGTTTTCTGTATACCCTCTTCTGTTTTCTTTATGTTCTTTGAATTTACCCCATTATCCTTACTTTGTAGATCGCCCAGATGCCCCAGGTACCCCCAAATGTACTGGTACTACTGAGGACTCCATCTCTCTGTCCTGGTCTCCACCTAGAAATGATGGTGGCAACCCTGTCAAAGGATATTTTGTAGAAAGAAAGGAGCCTGATAGTGACAAATGGGTGAAGTAAGTTACTTTTTGATGTAATTTTGATATATAGAAATATTTTTATGTTATGGTTAAATGCTGTATTTTGTGTTTACCAAAAATTATGAAATTAATGCTGAGGAAAACTCCTTATAGTTAGGTAAGACAGAAACCTTTCTTTGTTGATCTGTAATTTAAAAACTTTTCATACTAAGGGTACAGTCCCTGTAGAAGCTGCAGTTTTAAGTTTTTACACAAAATTTTAAAAATGATCCTACAGTTATGTAGACCTCCATATCATCACAGAAGAACAGTCATCAATATGCTTGTGTAACAATCTTTTTAGTTATCTAAAAATCACAATATTTCCAGGTGCAACATAAACGAATCTCCCGACACCTCCATGACAGTGCGTGGTCTGACCAATGGAAAGAAGTATGAGTTCAGAGTTTGTGCTGTTAACAAGGCAGGTCCATCACCCTGGACTGAGACAGCAGAGGCTATTGAGGCTAGACCACCACCTGGTGAGTTGTGACTGAATCACTGATATTTTTAAAGAATTTATTTTTGTAATAGTACCACTATTTTCATCTCTAAATGATAATGCTCTTCAATCAGTACTCTTTGTCTCCTTTCAGTGGCCCCCAAGATTGACCTGAACAGCATGGCCAAAGACGTGAAAGCTAAGCTTGGAGAGCCCTACAAAATAGTCATTCCATTTACTGGTGGCTCTCCTATTCCAACCCCAACTGTCACTGCGGTATGTTAAATCTGTTATGTTCATTTCATATTATAAATGTTCACTGTGGTAGTTTCTGAATATTTTGAAATGATAAAAGTCTCTTTGTTTTTGTTTGAATTAGCCAGTTTATCCTTTGAATATCTTCCATGTCATCTTTGTACCAGCTGAAAGACTTAAATTGTAATACAGGTTTTCTCAAACTACCAAATTATGAAATATTTCATAGTGTTTATTAGTTATAGGTATTGAAACTAAATATCTTTAACAGGAACACTGATATTACAGTCAGCATGTTGCTATATTACTTTTTAATTTTTATTTATTTCTATCTTTATTTGCAGGGTGGCAATAAGATAATCCCAGGGGATAGATGGAACTTTGTGAAGGAGCCAGATAGAATTATCCTGGAATGTAAAGAGGCAGAGAAGATTGATAATGCTAGATTCAACATTACTCTCACTAATGAAATGGGCAGCGACACTGCTTCATGCAATGTTACAGTTGTCTGTGAGTAGCATCTTAATATAATTAAATTACTAGTAACTTTGTTAGCTTTTGTTTGAGAACTATGTATCTATCTACAAGCTGCTGACAACCATGCAGAAAGCTAGAATTTTTGCTTTGTTATTGCTTCACAGACTTTTGATAGATTTCTATTAAGGTGAAGGTGAACCTTGGTGATTTTCAGTAGATACACAATATATTTATTAGAAATATTAGATGAAGAGCAAATAATTAAACTTGTATAAGTTGCATATTTTTTTACTGATAGCTGAACTGGTTAACTTTCAGCTCCACCTGGTGCACCAGAAGGTCCACTAGAGGTCTCTGATATCACCCCTGAGACATGTGTTCTCAAGTGGAATCCTCCCAAAGTAAGTGCAAACTGCATCCCCAGTATTTACATTTTTCTGCATATTTTCTAAGATTAGTGTAGTGAAAGAAAATATTGAATTCATTAAAAGAATTGGTTTGAAAAATAAGAGCAGTCAAAGAGAGTGGCTGAATTTTAGATAAGCCATATTTCATGATTTATTCCAAATATTTTATGTCATCTATTTCTGTTACTACAATTCACAGGAAATTCATTTTAATTTTATACCAATTGTTTTAAAGCAAACATCTGTATTTCAGGATGATGGCGGCAGTCCCATCACAAACTACATCGTGGAGAAGAAGGACTCCAAGTCTCCTGATTGGAAGAAAGTCAGCAAGTTTGTCCGTGGCACAGAACACGAGGTCATGGGCCTGGAGGAGGGGCATGAGTACATGTTCCGAGTCAGTGCAGAGAACGAATATGGAGTTAGCGTTCCTCTAGAAACAACCAAGCCTATAATTGCTCAACATCAATACAGTGAGTTTATTTTTGCTGTTTTGTTGTAGTTCAGTAATTTAAGTTAAGCACTGGAACAAGAAAATGTACTGAAGCTCATAGAATGGCAGCTTTGCATTAAGGATCAAAGCAATTTTTCATTTTATATCTGTGCAAGGGTATGTCATTTCTGCTGTTTTCTTGTGTGTCTCATTTAGACAAAAATAAAAATGATCTTATCTGTTGTTGCAGCTGTCCCAGATGCCCCAGGTCGTCCCAAAGTGGATGATGTGGATGCAGACCGTGTGACACTCAGCTGGACTCGCCCACGTGATGATGGTGGTGACAAAATCCAGGGCTACATTATTGAGGCCAAGGAAAAAGGTGGCAAGTGGAAACCTGTCACTGACTACCCTGTCAAGGATCTTACACACACTGGTATGTTGAGAAGTCCTCAAAGTTTACTATTTTGTTAAGTGAGCATTTGTAATAATAAACATTAGTGGTCATATTTTATCTATTTTTAAACATTTTTTTCATGTGTGAGTGTGTAAAATTAATAAATGGTGTGTAAAATTAATAAATCATGGCAATACAATCAAACCCAAAACATTTTTTTGCGTACAACTGTTAAAAAAACTGCACAACTAAAGCTGAATTGCAAGTCACAGTGTTCTCTATTGTTATTTAAACATTTCCTTCTTCCAGTTAATTGCTTATATGTAACTTGTTTCAGTGACTGGTCTGCCTAAAGACAAAGAGTTTGACTTTAGAGTGAAAGCCAAGAACAAGGCTGGTCTCAGCGAGCCTAGTGATACCTCTGGTTTTGTTACCACCAAACCTAAGTGCCGTAAGTAGTTATATTCTGGGATTTAAATGTTCAAAAAATGCAAACCAATGAGTTATTTTTGGGAGGAAATAAACATTTTAAATCAAAATTTAATGTCCTAATAGAAACAAAGCATACATTTTAACAATTATAGTATCAGTTTATACTTATAAAAAATGATGAAATGTCACAAGCATCATCACCTTGTCTTACATAGCTGTTAGCGCCAAATGTATGAGGATCATTCTTGGTGATATTTGCCCAGTCAAAATGTTTGATCACTGAATACAAATGTAGTTATTATGCTTTCCGTTATAAGCTAATTGATGAAGGTGCAGTATTAATAATTGTAAATCTTCCATTATTGCAGAGAAACCAGGTGCTCCTGGTGCCCCCAAGGTAGAAGATGTAGGCAGAACCTTTGTGGAACTTTCCTGGGAAAAACCAAAGCATGATGGAGGAGCTAAGATTAAGGGTATGTATTAATGAGAAGAATTTTTAAGGTAAAAATGTTATTTCAAATGTTGGAATGTTTCGAACACATTTTTACACGTGTTCACCATTGTTTGAATACAAAATGCAAAATAATAATGCTCTAAATGCAGTATATAAACAGCCATAAAGCTCTCTTGACCAGAAACATGTCAAGTTGATCTTATTTATTTATATTTTACTGAATTTGTTTTGTATGCGTATTTCACATTATCTCTTGTAGGATTTTCTATGAAAATGACTACTTTAATTCTTGGTAAATAGAAGTTACTTTAAACCCATATGGACATTCTATACAGTCTGCCATTATCCTTTCCCACAATTTTTATCCCAGACAATTTGTGTCATCTTTACTTCAAATTTAGTTTGCACCAAAAAGTTTTGACTTTTTACAGACTTACCCCTTAAAACCCCCAAACAGCCTGATCTGTGATTACTACATTATAATACCAGATGCAGATTTTTACCCCAAAAATGTGCTCAAAGATATACCTATGTCTCAATCCTAGATCAATCAAAATCTAATCCTAGGTGCTGTGAACATTATGATAAATCAAATTGACATTCGCTCAGATCAGAGAGTGTGAGTGTGGCTGTACTGATACAGCATTTAAGGAGAACTTCAAACAAGTATTACCTCTTCGTCTGAACTATTCTATGTGAGCCTAATTTGCCCCCATGATCAATCATTAGCATGATGCCAATTCTATATCTCAATCCAACTTGATAGCACAAACATGTTTATAACCACCCACCTACAAGCTCTTTTGGTGTATTCAGCCTACATTTTGTCAGCATCTCATTTGGATTGTATGATGAAAGAGAAAAATTAAAAAAATTTGGTCATATTTAGAAATTAGTTCCAGACATTTAATTTTTGATAGCTACTCATTCTATTTCTAATGCTTAACATGTTTAGGATTAATACCTCTAAGACTGTTTATTGGTCTAGGCTGCAGGTCAGAATTTGTTTCATTTTTTTATTGACAGAAAGCTGATATGTTTTATTTGGAAATTTTCAGGCTACACTGTATATAAGAGAGCTTACCCTGAGGGTGACTGGGAGAAGGTGAATGACTACCCATGTGTAGATACCAGATACACTGTGCCTGACTTGCCTGAGAACTCAGAATATGAATTTAGGGTGGCAGCTGTCAACCAAGCTGGTGAGGGAGAACCCAGTGTGCCCACTGAACCTACCAAGGTCAAGGAGAAAGTTGGTAAGGAGAAATGGAGTAGGATGTATTTGCAAAAAACATCTTATTGTTCACAAATCTTAATTGCAGTTTCTACAGCATTGTGTTTTATTTATATAATATATTTTATTTGATTCATTTTAAAAATCAAAAGGATGATGATCATATGATTTTTTTAGATTTGTTTATTGATATTAATGTTAAATTTACATATAGCTGATGAAAAGAAGCACATTTTGAAGTATCATTCCATTCCAATAATATTGTCTGTTTCAGTTGGTATAAAGCCAGAGTTTGTAAAGAAAATCAGCAAGGTGGAAGCACCTGTGGGAGGAGAAGCCAAGTTTGTGGCTGAGATAGTTGGCAAACCAGCTGTAGAAGTGCAATGGTAAGTATTTTGTCCAGTGGTTCTTTGATGACATGACATGTTCTGTTATGTTGATTATCAGGTTTCAGTTTCATTGCTCCTACTTTGAAAAGCAACTTTGACAAACATAGTTGATCATATTTCTATTTTGCAAGTAAAAGTTGTCAACACCACTTCATTTAGGCATTTTAAAAAATTGATGAAATAATTAGACTCTAATTTTGTATTTAAATTTACATGATAGAATAAAGCTATGATCGAATCACATAATATCACATTCATTGAATTCAATTTGCAAGCTCTGTAATCTGGGAGGACCATAAAACACTGTTTGTATTGAAATTGAATTCAGGTTCAGAAATGGCATTCCCATCCGCCCTGGTGCTAAGAACCGTGTTGCTGAGGATGATGATGGTAACATCTCTCTCACCATCACAGATGTAGAACCTAGCGATGCAGGAGAGATAACCTGTACTCTAAGTAACAAACTGGGCAAAGACACCTGCTCTGCTCCTCTGGAAGTAATTGGTAAGAGTACTAATTCATTAATACAGAAACATCGTGTTCCTCTTTCAATGCCATCTATGTGTTTTATTTATTTACCTTAGTGCCTTCATTAATCTAGCTTGCTTGATTAATATATCTTGACCTGCTGAACCTGAAAGTAAAACTTATCAATTAAATGATATTGAAATCAGCTTTTACAACATATATATATATATATATATATATATATATATTTTTTTTTTTAATTTGAACATCAGCTGAAGTTTAAACAACTTAAATACTGTGATATTTTTCATCACAGCCCCACCCAAGTGTGACAAAATGCCTGGTGACCAGAGTGTTGACAAGGGTGACACACTGAAGCTGAAGATCCCCATCTCAGGCAAAGGTCCTTTTGATGTGAAACTGAAGAAGGGCAATCAGCCTCTGACTGAGGGTGACAGACTGAAGATCACACCATTTGATGACTACATTGTTGTACAACTCAAAGGTAATGATTGCTTGTTAATCATGTATACCTGAATCTAACACATGTAAAAAAGAAATAGATATGTAGTACTTTTTCTTTTCTTTTGTCATTTTGTTTGCTTTAGTAAAGATCTATAAAATCACGGTGAGTGAGACTAGGTAAATTATAGAAAATTAAGAAAAGTTATTTTTCTCTCATATTGTGAAACATAAACTATTTTCATACCTGAAAGTATTAATTTTTTCTTACTTGAAGGTAACTTTTTATATAAAATTGCCTTTTCCAGATGTAGACACTGATGACACTGGTCCATACAAGCTGGATATCTCTAATGCCAGTGGAACTTGCACTGTGCCATTTAATCTGAAGGTGAAAGGTGAGCAAAGCAGAAGGAGAGGTTATTTTATTATTGATAGAAGATATTGATATAATTGATAGATTGTTTTATTATTTCACAAACGGCATTCCATCATTCTGACTGCATGTACATGTGGCACATTTTGATTTCAAGCTTGACTAGTATGCAAAGTAAAATGTATTAAAATGATTTAAAAATTTAACATATTCTTGGATTTTTCTACTTTTAAAACATTTAATCTGTTCTTTCAAGGATTAAGAGGGTCAAATTATGTCGTGAATGTATCTCATATTATCAGCCATTGTTCAGTCAAATTGATTAACTAATATGATTGATTGATTGATTAAGACACTCTTTTCTTTTTTCCTAGCAACACCTGGTAAACCAACTGCACCCCTTAATGTCTCAGACATCACCAAGAATGCCTGCCACTTGTCCTGGAAACCCCCCAAAGATGATGGTGGCAGCAGAGTGACCCACTATGTGGTAGAAAGGAAAGATATCTCCAAACCTTACTGGACCACTGTGGGTTCCTTTGTCAAGGTAAAATTATGACTCTGGAATTAATGCCTGGTCAGTTACCTGAAAGTATTTGTGCCATCAGCTAGCCGTGTTGAGTGTTATGGACTTATTTCTGTTTTCTGATATGTCAGGCACTACATATGTGCCTAACTACATATTAACTTTATCTATGAAATAGCTTATCACAAATTGATGTAATATGAGCTGATTTCTGTAAATAGATATTTTTGTTAACCCAGTTAGATTTCTTAACTGTTTTACATTTATGATAAACAGTGTGTTTAAGCATGTGATTGGAGTTCACATTGATGTACCATGGGACTCTGTCCATACTTTGATTTTGTGTGGTTTGCATCTCCGGTAACTTAGAGAAGCTGTTGCAATTCAACAACTCTGAAACTATTTGTAGCCAATATAAAATACTTTACTAAGGCCAGCACATTTAATTTTGTAGGGAACTGAATTTGATGTACAAGGTCTGATTGAGAATAACCAGTATTTGTTCCGCGTTGCTGCAGCTAATGAGAATGGTACTGGTGAATTCCTGGAGGCACCAAACCCCATCACAGCCAAGATGCCATTTGGTAAGCCTTACTCTTCTGATTTGCAGAAAAACTTAATTTGGTTGCTAAAAGACTATGAATGGTAAGGAACCCTCTCAAATATTGATCTCTTTGAGAGGTAAAGGAGACCTCATAAGCATTTTCCTATATTATGACTACCACTAAGCCTTATTTTCAGATGGTCCATTCTATTTATACATTGCAATGATTTCTCTCCCACTAGATCCCCCAGATGCACCTGGTGTCCCTGAAGTTACAGAAGTGGGTGGTGACTTCGTCAGCCTGTCTTGGGACAAACCAGCTTCTGACGGAGGCGGTAAAATCCTGGGCTACTTCATTGACAAGCGTGAGGCAGGTGGAGATGCATGGTTGAGAGCCAATCCAACCAATCCATGCATCACCAACATTTGGAACGTCCCCAATCTGATTGAGGATCGCGAGTACGAGTTCCGTGTCACTGCTGTCAATGAAGCTGGCGAAAGTAAGCCGTCCATGGCCTCTAGGAAGGTCAAGGTGAAGGATCCTTTAGGTAAGTTTTTGGTTTTATTAATATGTCCTAGTTTACCATCTTCAAAGGACCTATTTACAACTTTGCGAAACTTGGCAAGGTTTACAGGATTAACCATTAATTTCATAGTATACTCATAGTTAAGTTTGATTTTGATGTAAATAATAGTATTCATTTGATTTTTGAAGACATGTAACGTTTTTTGATCTGAGGAAAAAAGTTTTAACCAAGAGTATTAATGTGCCTATTGTTTTTGTCTAGCTGCTGTAATCCCAGAATTCACGTCACCTTTGAGAACAGTCCAAGCCACTGAGGGCAAAACGGCAGAGTTTCAGTGTACTATCACTGGCTCACCTAAGCCTGAGGTGACATGGTGAGTAATGATAATAATGAACAACTCAGACTAACTAACATTTTCAACAAACAATATGGGAAAATTATGACATTAAATGCATGAAGTTATGTATTATTGTGTTATGTATTCCATTTGGTCAGTTTCAAAGTGTTAACCAATTTTTGTTTCCATTGCTTAGGTTCAAGGGTACCCGTGAACTTTTCGACAGTCCCAAATATGAAATTTACAATGATGGTGATACCTACTACTTGGCCGTGAAGGATGTGTTTGGTGAGGATGCTGATGAGTATACTGTTAAAGCAACCAACAGAGGAGGCTCCAGACAGAGCAGGGCAGATCTCTTGATTAAATGTAGGTGACTTAATGTCAACTGTTACTAACTTAAGTATGAGAATTTAAAGAAGTTTTGTGCATTAAATATTGTATTATTTTGATTATTTATTCAATAAAGTTTGTGTTTTGCCATTTTTGCTGGTAACAAAACAGGTAAAATAATTCATAAAGGTATAAAAGGTTTATCTTGTTGTGGATGTTCAATCACCCTGAGTTTCAAAGTCTACAGTTAACTCACCTCTGTTAGCAACATACCTGTGCTTTTTCTTTTATGTTGAAAGAAGACATACACTTGCCTCTGCGAAGATTGAATTTTCACTTGATATTCACATATATGTCTCTAGCTGATTCATGGCACTTTTCTCCACTTGTGTTGGAGAAAAGTTCACATGATTAATCTGTAGCCCTGGTAGATGTATACATGGTAAAGTTAAGATACTGTCAGCACTCTGTACCTCAGGGCAATGCAAAAGATTTGTTAAATAAAAATAACACATACAGACATATAACTTGTTTTGCTCTATTTCAGCTGCACCAAGGATTAAAGTCCCTCCAAGATTCCAGCAGCCATCAGCATTTGAGAAAGGAGAGACTATTGTCATCAAACTGCCCTTCACTGGCTTCCCAAGACCCACAGACAAGTGGTCAAAGGACACAGAAGAGATTAAGGGTGGAAAGAACTATGAGATTGAACTTAAGGAGAGACATGCTATCTTGACCATTAAGAATCCACAGAAGGAGCATGCTGGACCTTACAGGTTAACCTTGGAGAATGACCTTGGCCAGGATACCAAGGTGGTTGAGATTCAGATTAATGGTGAGTTTGTGGTAGATATTGTATGGATTTTTTAATGTACTTACATAGTTGGATGCTACAATAGAAAATCTTTATCATAATTTCTCTCATAAGAGTTGCAGTAGGTCATGACACTTGTTACCTGTAAGACACATAAGACTAGTTACCTGTATGATTGCGTATTTTCAGATGCTCCTGATGCTCCCAGATTTGCTAAAGTAGACAGCCAGACAGACAAGAGTGTGTTGCTATCATGGCAGGCTCCACTCAACAATGGTGGCAGTATTATCAGCCAGTACATTATTGAAAAGCGAGAGTTGCCGAGTGAGTCTTGGACACGATGTGGTACATGCAGGTATGTGTCAGCTATTAGAGATGCACCTTTGAATCTGCCTGAAAAATTATTTTCATTGATACCAAAATGAAGACAGGTTGCCAGTATATTGAAATGAGAGATAACAAAACAAGTTGTTTTTTTTTATTTGAGTTATGATGTTGTGATTTTTTTAGGAAATCCATACAAAAAATAGATTTTAATGAGAAATTGTGGTAGATTTTAAGATACATGTACCTGTGAATTGAACAGAAAAAGATTGCAGTAAACTTGATTATTTGACATGAAAATTAGAGATTATTGGCATTGCCATCATCTTCACTCTTTTTTTTTATGGTAAAATTATAGAATGTTAATATTATAGTTGCTATTCATTTCAGGTTCAACACGTATACAGTAGAGAACTTGAGCCCAGACAAAGAATACCAGTTCCGTGTGATTGCTGAGAACTTCTATGGACGTAGTCCACCTAGTGAGCCTACAGAGAAGGCTGCCATTGAAAAGGTGAAGAAACTCAGCCCAGAAGGTGAGAAATGTTTTTTTTAATGGATATTTAAGTCAGAAATGTGTTTAAAGGGGGGAATTTGGATATCTCTTTATATGTGTCACATCTTTTCAAGTACTAAATAGCATTTTGTTTATAATTTAGGTATAAGATATACATGGAGGACTTATAAAATAGTTTGATCAGGTAAACATATCATATTTTTGTTTTCAGATGAATTCTTCAAGAAGAAGAGAGGCCATTATGATGGTCCACCAATTGACAACTATGATAAGTTCTGTAAGTAGAATTTGTGTCTTGAACAGAATATCTATATCTTAAAACACATTAATGTTTTTATTGTTTATTTACAATTATTATTAAAATGATTTAGTGCTTCAGAAGGATTTTACATGTTCACAGCAAACTTTGCAATTCATTTCATGATGTATTTTCATATTTTTCACAACATCACATTATTTCTAGAGTATGAACTAAGAACCAGTGAATAAAAATATCAACTTTTCTGACAACAACTGCTCTGTTTTAGACACTGATATCTGGGCCAAGCATATCCCCAAACCAGTAGACATCAAGACCGGCAGTGTGTATGACTACTATGATATCCTTGAGGAGCTGGGCAGGTAGGATGATTACAATAAGTGTGGAAGGACTTAACTTATTCAATATGAAGGGATAAACTGTATATTAAGTTGACCTTACAGATTAAAACTTTCCTCTATGCTTGATAATTTTAGTGAGGGATTTTGAATTTGGGCTTCATTTATGAATTTATTTGGATATTCAATAATAGGATACAACAAAAAAACTCAGCAAAATTTTATATAATAATATTGCGATCCATATCTAAAATATGGTATATTCAAATTAATCTATTGAGTTGATATATTTACAGTGGAGCTTTTGGTGTTGTCCATCGTTGCCGAGAGAAGGCCACAGGAAACACATTTGTGGCCAAATTCATCCACACCCCATATCCACTGGACAAACAGGTTGTCAGAAATGAGATAGCCATCATGAATAACCTCCAGCATCCCAAGTTAATCAACCTTCATGATGCTTTTGAGGACCAGAAGGAAATGGTGCTGATCATGGAGTTGTAAGTTTCTGTCTGAGGATTAGATATGCTTGGAATTTTTAAAAGAAAGTTAATGGTATGTACTCTGTAGTAGTATTGGACTTTTAAAACATTCAATTTACATTTTAGTGTTCTTAGAAAGATTATTTATTATTTCTAGGTAAATCAGAATTTTTGCTCTATGAGTTAAATGTACTTAAGTAATATTTATAAATTCCTTTGCTGTAATTTATGTGAAACCAATAAATAATGTGTTTAGTGAGCAAGTACAGTGTGCTCTATTTTCCCATTGCAGCCTTGCTGGTGGTGAGCTGTTTGACAGAGTAGCTGCTGAAGACTACAAGATGTCTGAAGCAGAAGTGATCAACTACATGAGACAAGTGCTAACAGGAGTCAAACACATGCATGAGAAGAACATTGTGCATCTAGATATCAAGGTGAGTTGGCACTTGAAGAAGCCGAACTAAGTAATGCCATCAATGTACGTCAAATGATTAGGACACGGGTCCCCAGGGACAAGAAGAGAAAATTTTTCTTGTTTAACAAGTGCCATCTATAGGGATGTATAATATTTTAGTGATTGAGCTAATACTAGAGCATTGTGGTAAATTTAAAAGGAGGGGCTGCTTAAGTTTTTATTTTGATAAAGGGAATATTTTAGTTTTTATTTGTTTGTTTGAATAGAATAATGTATTCAGTTCTTAAAGGTATTTTGTGTATTAAAAAAATAATGTAAAATGTTACAGTGTTATTTGAATAGAATTAATAATATTTGTTCCTTCAAAATATGTAGAACAGTAATTTATAGTTTAATCCTCATTTTACATCAGCCAGAGAATGTGATGTGTGCCACCAAAAAGAGCACTGATGTCAAATTGATTGACTTTGGCCTGGCTACTAAACTCAATCCACAAGAGGTTGTCAAGGTTACCACAGCAACTGCAGAGTTTGCTGCCCCTGAAATTGCAGAGAGAGAACCCGTGGGCTTTTATACTGACATGTGGTCTGTGGGTGTGCTAGCATATGTATTGTAAGTACCATCAACACTTCATGGTCTTTGACCTTTTTTGTCAGAAATATGTTGTTTTTGATGAGGTCTAAGATGCCAGAAGTTATAGCTTTTTGAAAAAATTGAAAACCATTTATGACAGATTACAATTAAGCTGAAAGATTTGGTTTTTATATTTTTACACATGTTATCACTGCATTACCAGCTCATTTACAAGAAGAAAACTGAAATGTGTGCACACATACTTTTTGCACAAGCAAATGATCACAAACAACTCTTATTAGTCTTTTCATTAAATATAATCACTAAATGTGACTTATTTTTACCAGTGTAACTTTGTCATACACCTGACATGTTATGTTTTCAGGTTGAGTGGTCTGTCACCATTTGCTGGTGATGATGATCTCGAGACACTACAGAATGTGGCTAAATGTGACTGGGAATTTGATGAGGATGCCTTCAAGACTGTCTCAGCTGAAGGAAAAGATTTCATCAAGAAGCTGCTCCTCAGAAACCCAACGTAATTATAAGTTATCATTTTTTCCCTGTCATATAGTATTAATTATTTAAATTCCACCAGGCAGTGTTATTTATATACAGTGTGTTAGTAATTTTTTTAACAAATGTATATATTATTGCAGAAGAGTTTTTTACATCTTGAAGTACAAATTGCAATATTTGTATCAGGTGTATTGAATATGAATAATTTATTCATGATGTTATTTGAGCTATATTTTTGCTGCTGTTTCAGGCATCGTATGACTGTCCATGAGGCTTTGGACCATCCATGGATTAATGTAAGTCTAAAATAGATTGAATGGTTCATGTTTGATTTTATAAACAGGAAAAAGGATAGATAACATGTAATTTCTTCTTCATGTGTATTTCCAGATTTGCTCAAAAGTTTTCAAGACTTGATGCTCATACATAATGTTAATGCGTTATGAAATATGAAAAAATAAGTGCTTAACTGTAAATGTTTTACTTTCTTTCAGGGTGACCATTCTGATCTCACACACAGAATATCAAGTACACGTTATGATGCCTTCAGGAAGAAACTCCATGCTAAATATGTGAGAAAACTGCTATATGAATCTTAGAGTTGGGATGGTTACAACAAATACTTCAAATGGATATCAGTTATAGTTATCAGTTAGTTAAGTACAAAAATTTTAAGTTAAAATGAATTGGTTGTCTGAAAAGTCAGTCTGTAAGTATGGGCGTCCATATTGCATGTATTGCAATGTTCTTTGCAGGGTGACTGGCCAGCGCCTAGGCCTGCTATTGGACGTATTGCTAACTTCAGTTCTGTGATGAAAAACAGAGGTAAACAGTACCAGATCTATGAGACATCTTTTGGTAAGTATTTGTTATATGTTGTGGCAAGTGAATCAGATGCAGACCAAGAATTGTAATGGGTTTCAATTTGAATAATTCTTTCTTCAAGCTTACTTTTACTTTCTAACCAAAATAAAGCATTTTGATTTATATAATTCCATCATTTTAATACCAATTTTTTTTACATATCTGAATTATAGTTTGAAGGACACTTATAAATGCATTTTTAATCACCAAGTACTAATTTAAAATTATTTCAAGAGCAAATGTATTAAAGAAACAAAAGGTTGGAAGCACAAGCATCACTACCTCTAATTTTTTGCAATTTTATCCAGTTTCTTTTAAATGAAAAGGTATGCTAATGTAGTGTACAAAGAACCTAGCCTGTTTTTGCTTGAGATTCTAGGTGAAATGTGAACATATTTCAAGCCTTCACGGTATGAGAAATAGGTTATTATAACAGTGCTGTATCTTTTCACATCAACTTTCAGATCGTCGTGAGGCTGCTCCACGCTTTATCCGCAAGCCTAGAGACCAGCTAGCAATTGAAGGCCAGTCAGCACAGTTTGACTGTAATGTCATCGCTGCTTCAG